AGTAGCAAACTGTGCTTCGACTTGTGCAAACCATATTTGCGGATCAGTGTGCCAGAATTGCGGTAGTTTTAGAGCAACGGCTGTGATGTCGGACTTGGTATCTGGAACGGCATCGTCGTCTGGCATCATGAAGCAATAAGCAGTGAAAAACAGGTTAAAAATAAGCAGTTTTCCAAACGTTATGGAGCCAAAGACTTGTTTGTCTTATTGCTGTGTCCTTCGTCGGGGTCACCAATGTAATTCGTACGAAACTACACTGTAAATTTCTCTCTTTTATTGAGAATAACAAGATTCAAAACATGACAACGATATTTTTCCCAAGAAGCCCTTGCGGGCCTAATGACACAGGAATCCCGAGCTGTAACAGATGTAAGAGATGTTTGTTCCCATCTCCTGCATGCTCTCAAGAAAGGTTCTTGATAATTAATATTTAATTGTTAACTGAAATTTTAGCAATTAAATCAATGCTAAATTAAAATATATTGAGATGGTTTATGTTTGGCCAGATGGTAAAATATATTTTGGCTCTTAATTGTATGGCCTGCTGGGTTGTGCTTCTTTGTGCTGGAAATTTGAATTTATTGATTTAATGTGTTCATATTTAGGAACTATTGAGTACTCCATCAAAAACAACGGTATGTGATACARATGTCTTATTGATATTGCAATTCTTGCATGAAAAAATAAAACATCGGTGATATAAAAAAATAAATGGGTGATATAATCATATAATTATCATATTWGATATTTAATGTAGTTATGATCTTATAAGTCATTTTACAAAATTCTGACTGMCATGTGAAAAGTCACTAGTTTCATTAATGATCTGCCCGGGGGACTCCGGGGTAAAAGTACCAGGGATGCTRGTCGGATCTCTCAGGGGTGAAAATTCATGTATGGGAATCTTTTAGGGTTCTTAGGGTGTTGGAAATGAAGASAAAGAGCGCATCGATATTGATTTTCCTCTGCATTTTGTTTTTTTCATTGAATATTTTATACATTTAAACATTGGAGCTCATTTAGTTTAAAAATATTTGTTGTGCAATCTCTTAGGGGTTAAAAATCAGTCAGCCACTCCCTTTTTTCATGACTTCCGGGAATGTTTAGGATGATCTGCATGCAACCTTTTCTGGTACAAATAAGATTTTTTACCTATTGTATAAGTAGCTACAGCTAGCTATAGCTACTTTACTTATACTGATGACGAATTATATTTGAATAATATATAAAATATAAAGTCTTCGTTGTAGCAGAAAAGGTTGCATGAAGATCATCTCAATCAAACTACTTAAATTTCACATGCATGCCAGTCAGAATTTTGTAAAGATGATTTTACATTTAAGATACATCATTATTTTGTTAATACCGTATTTACCCATGTATAAGCCGCTCTTGTAGATAAGCCAAACCCCGATTTTTAGGGGCGTTTTTGAGGGTAAAAAAAACTTTTCTCTTTTTGATCGCCACTTYCAAACACAGCTTTCTTTAATTTTAAAGTGCTTTTCCGCTGCTCGATTTCCGTGATCCAAATTAGCACCGCGTTACCACAACAACTCCAAGACAAAACGATTCAAAATGCTCCCTGTTCATTGGCTCAATAACCACACACTTTTCAGTGAATTATTGACTGGTGTTTCTCAGGGCTATATTTTCGGAGAATTTATTATATACTAGTAATACTGAGAAGTTTGGATTAAAATTTCTGTTCCTGCCGTCCTGTCTGCAGTAAGTAGCACTGTGGATGCTAATTTATGCAAAATAGTTTTTATTGGGCATTTTTACGAGTCTTCTCGTAGATAASCCGCACCCCCGATRTGGGAACAATTTTTTTGGAAAAAAAGTGRGGCTTATACATGGGTAAATACGGTACTTGTTGCYGTGATTGGAGTACAAACATTTGTGTGCAATACTTTSTACTATTTACTARGAAATAGTGTTAATTAAACAATAGAAAACAATAGAATTASCATAATTTAGCAGTATTTAMTGGTATTTATGTTGCACAGTTTTAGTGTTTGTACTCTAAAATTGGTTATAATGATGYTAATAAATGTTTTTATATTATTTTATCATTTAGAACATGCCATTATCGTCAAATACCACTCCTATTATTATGGTTTTACAAACAGAAGATATCCCTGTGGATATTGATGCAATAAAGGTATTAAAATAATATTAGTACTGCATATAAAAAATCAATGATACTTATCATTTAAAGAATGTCAGAATCATACTAWTTGTTGTTTTGTGCTGATAATCTAGTGGACATCAGTAGAGTCGATGTTTACTGTCAACAATTTATGGCAGTCAGGTTTTTAGCTTTTTAGTTCAATGATTAATTTATTATAATGTGCATGCTTTTCAAAAACAGAGTTAGCAATGCTTTGTGTCAATTGTGAAGATGAAGAGGGTTGAGGCCTTGTTTCGCTGTAAAGTAGTGAAAAAAGGTCTGAGCTTTCGCCATCTACGGCTTCATCAGAGACTGACTWAAGAAATGTTGTCTAAGTGATTAAAAGAGCGTTTAGAATGAAAGGTTGTCCATTTCCAATCACTGGATTCCTCATGGGAATTGAGAGATGGTCTTTGTTTCTTTATGTAAAAAGCTTCTCATATAGTCTAAGGTCAATTGTGTTTAATGTTCCCATGCAGCTCCATTGTTTTAAGGTTTTGTAATATATAAAAACAATTTTATATTTTAGTAAATAGTAGTATTTAAGTAGTATAGCAGTACTTCAAATGTATGATAAATAATGTATAAATAACTGAGTTTCATTTGATAAGTAGCTGAAATAAGTTTATTTCYTTTTTAGAAAGTTTCAAAAATTGTTTCCAAAAGGATGTATTTGGATCTGGTAATTATATATTATTTGACTTAAACATTTTATTATGTTATTTTAACAACAATATTCTGAATTATAGCTCGCTGCTTCTTTGAATGGCATACATGTCACATGTTGTAAGTCACATGTTGGCCGGGGTGATGTAGATTTATCCTTAAGGTGGTATGATACCCCKAAAAAACTACAATTTTGAAATAAATTGACAAAATTATTTTCCTGTTGATTTTGCCTAAAAATTTCATGAAATTTGWCTGGAATAATTATTGATAGTGCAGTAGCCTGTGTACATCAGTTTCTCACCCCTCCAAAAAATCGGGGAGAGAACGTCGATTTTTTTGGAGGGGTGAGAAACGGATGTACACAGGCTAATAGTGCAGTAGTGCAATGAATCTCAAAAACCTTTAATAGTCTCCTTCACTGTTACCTGCGCCATCTTGAAAGGCAGCCGTGCCTTTGCATCGAAGTGAGACGACCGTTGAGCGTGCAATGATAGAAACCTTCTTTCACACCTACAGACAATTATTCACAGGTTTCTATCATTGCATGCTCAACGGTTGTCTCGCTTCGATGTAAAGGCACGGCTACCTTTCAACATGGCGCAGGGAACCGTGAAGAAGATGACTATTGACATTGTTACAATGCTCAGTAATATCAAGGCTTTTTATCAAAGGATGCTGGCTAAAATTATAAGCTTTTTGTTTGTTTACTCTTGTTTCTTTTTTGTTTATGTAAACCACATAACAATTTTAGGTTCGTTGTATACATTGAGATATTAGTTTGGATTTTGTATTCTAATTATTATAGTTTCAGAGCTAGAGCTGTTACAGTAGTYTCTTATAATCATGTATTTTGGGTGTGGCTTGGTTACCATAGCAACAACAAGTGCTAAAATTGGTACATAGTTAATAGTTAACTATGAATTGGTATCAAATGATTTGTCTCAATAAGGATAATGATATGTGAAGTAATAAAATYGCTAAGTCTTTTCCTTGAAATTACTGTTATCTTGGGTATCATACCTCCTTAAATGCGTGCACCCATTTGTCATTTGTCCAATAGTAATTACACATTCTTGTTGTATTTGCATCATCATTGTTACACTTATTACTTAGGAACCAATGAAATGCGCCATCAAGTGTTATGACCGATGTCTTCAAATCACAGATCCAAGCTTTAAAAACAAGATTGATGTTTGGAAAGCTCTTACGTCTTTGGTAAAACATGACTGTGCAGATGTAGTCTTACAGGAATTAGTGAAAGGTAAACATTAATGGTGCACTTGTCAGATACAAAGTGAGAGTTTTYACAGACAGATMATCCTCACTCTTGTTGCCTTGATTATTGTGAGGGAAATAAAATTTKTTTCACAATCCCCCACTGTAATTTATAAGTTTTAAATACAGTACTACAAATGTATTGTGCAGGTATTTTACAAGACATTTTCAATTAGTATTCCAATAGTAAAGATGAATCATCATTTTTTTCAGCAACAACCAGTCCAACATCTGTAGAAGAGGATTTGTGGTCAGACCTCAATAATTCCAGTCCTCATCAGGTATATAATGGTAATTAAACTGTATTTGTTGTAGATGTTTCTGGTTATGTTACATTCTGGTGTATTGAATTATTATCTATAAGTATCATAGTGCTTATAAAATTTTTATAAACTATTAATTAAATTTTTTGATATTCTCTGTTCATTCAAGAAARATGGATGGCTGTAACTTTGAGTAGATTGTTTTGATGGCTGGCACTATTATTACATTAAAGCTAAATGCAAGAATGAGCGAAATATATTCTGAGAAAATCTTAGATAAATAGTACTCAACTTTTTCCTTTAGGGAATTCTTGAAAAACAGGAATATGAAAATGATAGTAATTCAGAATTCTACATGACTTTTAGGGCTTGTCCCTGTATTTTCTAAATTGCCTTGTTGGCTGGTCATGTGATGGTGCTGTTGCTTCCAGTGAACTTCTTAAAAAGGTTCTTGAGAAAGCCAAAGATGACAGCACTGCAAAAGAGACATTTGTAAATATGGTATGATTGTCTATYTCTTGTTGGATTTCACCTTATTAAACTCATGTTCAAAACATTCATGTTTAATCCATCAATGAGTTAGTAATATATACAATATGAGTGGCCGATCTTTATGTGGATTTACAACACTCTTCATGGGTTATAATTTCTATTGTGTTTTGTCTTATGATATTAATGAGTTTTATAAATAAAGGTTCAAACACTAGGGCGAGGGTTTTCATTCAAATTCAAGACCGAGGGCCGAATTTCAATGAAACACGAGCCCGTGTGTTTGAACCAGTTTAGCGGAAACCACTCACGCCCCAATTCTATTGTTTTAATGGAAGACATTTTGAATTAATTGATTGTTTCACCAAAGCTTGTTTTTTTTAATGGATAGTCCTTAAATTTTTAATTCACTCCAGGGAATAATTTACAATCTTTGATAGACATTCACTATTTCTCATGCTTATAAACAAAAAGACCCGTAAAATTATGAGAATTTTGACGTGCACCGAGTACGGTTTCTCATACCTATTTTCTCTAGGTTTCGGCCTTTTCAGGCGCCATTTTAAACGTATAACTTGTTGGATTTAGCTTGTAGTAAACATGTTACAACTCTATTGGGAATACGTATCGTATTGTTCGAAACATTCTTGAACGATTAGAGTCCGATTGTGTGTATAAGGATAGCTGTCCCGGGTTTTGAATTCAGCCCCGCACTCCCCTGCTGATAWTCAAAGCCGCCCCCGTCTTTTAGAATGCAGGTCTTACCTCGAATTTCAAAAACTACATAAAACAATAGAATTGGGGCGTGACTGGTTTCTAATCCAATTTAAAACACTGACTCAACACTAGTAAATTTCTCAGGTTTAAAGGTCCAGTTTGCACCATTATGCTATGCGCACCTCTGTTATTGTTATGTCATTTACACCAAAATGCTTCTATTATCCAAATATCCCCATTAAATTAATGTCAGATGGTCAAAACTCTAATATTTAACAATTTTTCGCCGAAGGCGAAGTGATTATCAATGAATATTTACCGAGCGGCGATTCCGCTTCATTGATAATCACTGAGCCTGAGGTGAATAATTGTTTTAGTATAATTTCATAAGTGAATATTCATAAAAATAGAGAAAAAAGAACTACTGCATTTTCGTAAAATGTTATGTGGCGGGGATTGAAGATGGCGGTCGAGGGCCGCTCGGATTGACAGCAAAGTCGTCTTCTTGTAATAATTGCCATCTTTCTATCTTATGGGCACGTAAAACTTTGATAGACACTTGTTTAATTCACTAGTTTCCATGTCTTCAAAGCTGACAGTGAATTCAGACTGTTGTTGAAACCATTCTGTCAAAAAATGTATCGAGTAAAATGTAAACAAACCAGGCGAAAACCTACAAATTTCAGCCTGTTTGACGTAAAACGATAGATACAAAAGTAGTTTTAGACAAGGTTTTTATTATTAAATAAACAAAACTTACRTATAAAAAGTTTTAATCCAATTTTTTAAATCCAATTGTTTAATCGAACGACTCGCGGACAACGCCATTTTGCGAAAAAATCCAATATTCACCTATAGGTGAATATCGCTCATTGAAGCGTCAAATTCGACCAATCAGCGCGCTAGAATTATGATATTCACTTATGAAATTATACTTACTAATAAGCATTAATATTAGCATTTAAAGTGCTAGAAAAGTGAGATGGTCAAAGATTTGAAAAGCACAGTACAAATTTATAGACTAGGTAAAATGAAAATGGTCACCTCCAGGCCCTTGCGCCCCCAAAGCATAATGGTGCACACTGGGTCTTTATTTGAATGTGATAGCAATTGAAAAAAAAAAAAAAAATTTACTAGAGTTAAATCCTCATACAGATCTCCTGCTTATGTTTTATTTAACAAATAGATCTCATTTTTCCGTGCGTGTGTACTCTAATASATACACAGATGACGTCAAAATGTAGTGAGAACAAAAAAGTACGCACGAGGCGCAGTCGAGTGCGTGACTGTTGTTCTCACTACATTTTGACGTCATCTGTGTATCTATTAGAGTACACACGCACGGAAAAATGAGATCTATCTGTTTTATACAACAAACAATTAGTTTTGACGTAATCCGTGTATCTATACTTTGATAATACACGAAAGCCAACCAATCAAAACGTCTGATTTTACTGAAAAGTTGTATAAAAATATATATTACAAAAAATTACCCACCAATATTTTTGGCTGGAGTTTTGTTTTTGTTTTTTACCATGCAGTAATCTAAGCAATTTTCCTTTTTTGCACAATAAAAATTAATTAGAGTGAAATTATAATGACAAGTCCTAGGAACGAAAACATCATAGAAAGCCCAAGTTTGGATTAAGAACGAAATATTTAATTATCATAATYATAACATTGATTTTGTTGTCAATAGGTAGTGTTGCTGGGAAGACATATAAAATTGATAGGAAGGTAAAATCAATYGCATTTTTAATTGTTCTAGTTCTTGTTGATCAGTCCTTTGTAATATTGCTAAATATTACTTAAATRTTCATTTAAAATTCTTTCTAAAACTTTTAATAAAACACTTATTGTTTTTGTACATCTCTTTCAATTCGGCCTTTACAGATCGTTGAATCTGTACATTTTACAAATATTTGTTTAACACTTTTGCTGTTTCGGAACTTTTGATTACCTTTAATTACTTTCAAACAATGCCTCGTACGTGCGCTATAGATCTGGACTAATCCCTTTAATATTTGTTTATCGTACATTTTCCGATGTCATGCGCACTTGAATTCTGCTTACTTAAGGGAATTTCGAAATCGATAATTAAGTGCGYATGACATCAACTTTGATAGTTTCATATTTTRAAATAACTTTCTTATTTCCATTTTCAAATTTTTCATAATGTTTAGCTTTTCTTATATTTTCCATATTGTACCTTTATTAGGGTCAGTCGTCGATTTAAGGTTATATATTTTTGATATTATAACTTGTGGGAAATACGCCCAGTTATGTAAATATAATCTTACATAGAGTGACGTAATATTAGTATAAAAAGGGTTAGTTTACCTAGCTCTGGAGAGTTTGTAAGGACCTTTTGAGTACAATAAACCTGTTGTGTGCCTACTTGAGTCGTCACTTGGAGTACCTCCCGTATTGCTAAAAGCGAGTGCCTCAACGTAACCCAAGACCCAACTTACAGTGGGATAAAGCCCATTTCACACCTTACCATTTTAGAACTAGCTGGCACTGATTCTTCGTTTTCAAGTTACGTCACAGCGGCCGTCTTGGAGGAACTTTAACAAAGGATTTTTCATTAGAATCTATTGTTCATTCCTCCAACATGGCCGGCTGTCTTTTCTCTTTTGAATCTCACGGGAATGAGTGAAAACGATCAATTTATGAGAATATTTTGTCCTTGAACAATATTGTATTTTTGTATTCAGATTGGATGAAATTGCTTTGCAATGCAGCAGTCTCTTGAAAGGCATTGAAATCTTGATAAACCAGGTATTTAAAAACGCCATTTATTGATTTGTTTACTGATCAAGGAAGCTGTTACACAGGGTAGATGAAACTCGTGTCGATATTGTTTAATGTTTTAGCCCGTGATGATTGATTTCTTGTCTGAAGAATTCATAAAAGAAGTCCAAGAAAGTTCCACACGGTTGGTAAGTTATTTGACAAAGAAATTAAGTGTTATTGATAAAACTGTTTTAACTGTTTTTAAAGCTGTTTTAACTGTATAGTTATTACAGCCTCTCCGTACTCAGGCTGATCCATGTATTGATGATGGTGATGAATTTGTGAGCAAACACTAAACAACTCTCTGTGACTTGCAGGGAAGATTCTACCACGAGAAATCCTTGTTTTCAGCATTCTTATCCTTGACTACATTAGAAGCTAAAGTGACGGGCAAATCACAGGCATCCAAGCCATTTCTAAGTCTTCCAAACTTTCCACGTTCGTCTCCTGATGACATTAAACGTGTACAGGTTAGTCAAAGATGTCACGTGATCTGATATCCTTTAAACAAAGCAGCGTTCTTAATCGGATTGGATTTTATCTCTGATAGCCCGTTTGGTAATCGTACGTAGTTTCAACCTAGGACATGCTTGAACAATTCAATATTTGAAAAGGATAGATGGTACGGACTGACCAGGGTCGTAGTAAATGATCGCTCAGAATGTACGTAATTTGGGAACTGACCAGCGCCAAAAGAGTGTCTGATCAAACTTAATATCTTTCTCTGATGGGCGTTTTTTGCTCAGTGACCGTTTCCCCTTTGACAGATCAGAGTGCTTTTAGTAAAAACGCGAGGTTGAACTATTTTGTACTATTTTATGTTAATTTTTTCGTTTTCATGTAGCACTATTTTGCAAATTTATTAATGAGTATTTCACGCTTTTACCGAAAGTACTTTAATAACGCAAAATGGTTAGCGAACATCTTTTTGAAGTTCCCACATATTAATCTAAAGGTGGCGTCCAGTGGTTATATTTGTCCCACTTCCTGTTTGTGCGTTTTTTTGTATTTCAAGTAATTCTTATGTGATTATGATTAACTGTGAATGTGTTATTATTTCTCTAAAACTCGGTAAAAATAAGAGGAATTGACATCACTTTAAAGTTGCAACCAAAGAACTAAATGTAAATAGTGGGAAACATTGGTTAAAAATGGAAGCCACCTTGATTCACAGGACCGTTTGAGATTCGTCAAAAAAAAATAAATAAAAAAATAAAAAAGATTTCGTTTGTATTGTTTTAGAGCCAACTTCAAGATGGATTTCATTCTTGTCAATCGGTTGTTTACAGCATTTTACGAAAGGTTTTGGCCAAATATCCGCAAAGGTATTTTTCTCATTGTTTCTTACGATGTCTTTCCATCTCTAGCTGAGTTTCCACGCCATTCTGGTCTTCACCCAGATTTTACAATCGAGAATTTTAAAAGCATGTTTTCAAATATTTCAACCAATCTTTGAACACTGTCGCCTTTGGTGAGGTTATTCCTAGAAACTATTCTTGATGATACCGATGTTACCCTAAACAGATTTCCAACACTGAATTAATCCACTTGTAGCTTTTCAAATAGATAGTCAGATAGGCGTGTTTGAATGAGGCGTTAGTAAGGAATGTGAAATTTCCTACATAAAGACGACATGCCTCTCTGCATGTTTTTTACTGTGATAGAGTACGTTAATGTAAAAAGACTTGSGTTCTATGCAATGCAAATAAATGTTTTTCTTTAGTGCCCTGGCATGGATTGCTTCAGTGGTAGCTGATAATGACATCCGATCAAAAGCCCTTCTGAGTGAAAATCCCGATGAATCCATAGCCTGTGATGGTGAGTGAGAAATAGAATTCTACATATTGTCATCTTTGCATATAAGCGTGATAGTGTTGTTTTACACTACAACCAGAATGCTCTGCGCCGTATTTTTACTAATTACACTTTACAGAACAATCATTGTAGTAGTAGTATTGTATGACGCCATCGTGACCGATCGAACCATCTRAATTAGAAACTGTCTGATTTTCTGCTTTTTCTGTATTATAATATCTTTTCCTGTTGCTGCTGAAGAATGCACTTTGACCATATTCTGTACAATTCTCTTATTACAGAAACTCAAAAACGGTTTGAACCGACGTGCAGCCGACGAACATTTTCTGTGTTCAGTGGTCTGCAATATTTCATATGAAAGTATTTTTTCAGTTTTAATAATCATGTCTTTGGGTTTCTAAAATGTATAAGATATTTTAACTTGAATTGACAACCAAAAATCCAAAATATGTAAATTCAGAAYGTTCCGGGGCATAGTGCATTGGGTGTACTCCCTTCTGCTTATCATTTTTTCATTTAGTTTTATTCTATTTATGGGGAGGCCATAAGTGAATTTTGGAAGCTTAGTCCTGAGGGTAAAAGAGCTAAGAATCTGTTTGTCTGTCTCTCCGTTAATGAGGTTACATGCACAGTTAATCGCCAATTGTTTTTCCAGGATACATGATGAATTTCTGTCATGTTCTCCTTCGTCTTTGTGAGCCATTTTTCGTGAATAAAGGGGAAACAAAAATCGCCAATATTGCCACTGGATACTGCCTGTCTGACGCCTGCCGTTTGAATCACAACAATGAACGAACACTAAGTGGCTCCTGTATTGGTATGTGGATTGTAATCAATGAATTGCAGGGAATAAACGGACAAAATAAATAAAAAAGCAACAGTAACAATAGAAATGACAGCAGTAATATCAGGATCCAGAATACGGCATTGTATTTCCCATTAGCTTTCTTCTCCATTTTTTTTAATGTAAGCATACCTTAAGTTTAGTTGTACCTGAAACCAAAGTCCTAGATCCGCCCATGATGCGGTAAGAAGACGGCTCTTTCCAAGTGTGGAAATAGCAGGTTTTCTTTTTGGTTTTGTTTAGAAAATGAAGAAATTGAAAGCTCAACAAATTTTATTCTGCCGGATGGATTAAAAGGTAAAATAAAGACATTCATCTTGATAGTTTTTTCTTCTGGTTTAATTGAACTGACACCGGAGATATGACAACAACTTTATTCTGTTTACAGGAACGTTTATTTTAAAAACTGAAATGTTCCATATGACACAGCGGGCCCTTCATATTGGACTGGTTAACACAATACAGCACCACAACAGGCTTTTTAGGTATTTGTGATGATATGCCGTTGCCTAATGCATAGTCATTGGATACAAAACTTGTAAACGCTCATTCCTGATTTAATGATTTTCGTTAGGTTTTCATCACCCTTGAAATAGTCAAAGTAAAAACACCGAAACAGTACGTTTTTCATGGGTTAATGAGAACCAGTTCTTGATCGTTAGTAATCATGTTGCGTAGAAAACTAATGTAGTTCTTAGTGTAGTCGGCACGTAGAGAGTTAAAAGTGGTTTATGAAGACACGAYGGTTATCTGCATAGGATCTGTGGATACCCCTTATTTGCGGAATTTGTTTTGTTTATAGAATGACGTGCATTTTCATATACTGTAAAAGCTATATTCACGACCAATTAAAACCCTCCAGATCCAATTGGTAACTCAAATTCTTTAAATTCTTTGAGAAATCTCTGTAAATTTGCGTTATAAAAAATGTGACAATCTGATCATGCGCGAATCACTGAACAGAACTTTCTTGTCATCCCACATCGAATGCAAATGAAGTAAAYAAGTAACACTAGTGCCTGTTTCATTGGTATCGGTTGAAATCCTTCATTGTTCATTATGAGATTTTAAACGGGGAACCTTTGGTAATATAAGGGCTTAGGTTCTGATAAAGGTCATCCTATTTAGTATATTGTTTATATATAAAAAATAGTCATCAGRCATAAAGTTGTCTGCTTTGACCAATGTCAATAATAGGCCATATAAGCTTCTGGACGATACTTAGATRCCATCAGCTAGCCTCACTGGAATCAGAGGTCATGAATTATTAATGATGAATTAAGCGTGTTGAGGCCCGATCTACACAAGTGACGTATCAAACCATATCAGGAAATTTTCGAAAAAAAGCCGTTATTGTGGATATATGCACGTAAAAATGTTTTTTATGCGCAACAAAAGAATTTCCCCTAAAACGTTTCTACTATTATGCGGAGTGGCCTAAATTGTATTTCCTTTTGATGAGAAGCTTATTTAAGCCCTACAATGTAATTGGTTAAAAACTTTAACAGTGCAATTTGCTCTTAATGTTTTTGTTTTCATCAGACAATATTTAGTMTTAAAAGAAATGAATGAAGGAAAAGAAGAAGAATATGTTCAAAAAGTTATATCGGTAAGGACAACATTGTTTCCCAGATTACAAAGGTTTAGGGTTGCTTTTATATTTCTTGGTTTCATAGAGCCATGGAAGTCCAAAATTTTTAAATAAGCCATTTTGTTTTYTGTTTCCCAATATCTTTTTTTATGTTTTATAGTGTTTATCATAAAATTACATATGAAAGCAAATTTTTATCTTTACGAGATGGAGAAATATAGGTATTTCATAGATAATCATTGATAAATAGTTTTACGTATCATTTATGTAGCCTTTGTAGATTCTTTATTTGTCTTTTTGTAGTGGTGTCAGCGGTTTTGTCTTTTTTTCAGATGTTTGTATTTCAGTGGAGGACTGTATTAGAAGACGAAGAGTTTATGCGACTTTGCTGCGAGTTTTACCTTACTAGTGCCTTMTGGTTGTCAAAAGCACTAGAGAATTGTGAGCGATCACCTACTGGAGAGGTAAACTTTAATCATTTGTAATTGGCCAATATACTGTTGGTCCACAGGGGGACCGTCGCGGAAGTGAAAACGTACCTCTTAGTTTAGTTGCCTTTCTGGCTTTTATTGCCAATGTCTTCTACTYAACGTCTTCTGCGGTAAATGGAATCATTAGTTTCACAGAATTAAAAAACATTACCAACTTTTTTTCAAATATTWATATGTCAAAAGTTTCAGCAACTCGCAAACATCACAGTCGAATCGGAATATTTTCGAAAATTATCTGAAATAAACAGATGATTGATTTTCTTTTAAAAAATAGTTGCCGTTGTTTTGCGAATAGCTGTGGTGAATGATTGCATTTATTGCTTTTTGGGTTTCATGTTTTTTTTWAATAAATGTTCAAGTTTTAGTGACGACAATGGCATGGAATCATCCACATTTTTTGTTTGTGTAGAAATTATGCGATGACGAGGTGAAAAAGAATCAAAAAGGCTTGTTATCGGCRATTCCTGAATTCTACGTCAAAGACATGTGTACTTGGTTTTATTACGTGGCAGTGAACGGTCCACATGTACTGCGTAATCTCAAGGTTTTTTATAATCATTATAATTATTTCTCCTTATAACCTATAGAATGAATTGACAGTTACTTATTTGCATGTTGATAGATAATTCATTTTGTGGACTGCTGTGCCATGATTATGAGTAGCAAAGGTTTTGTACCGGGTCCAATGGTGTCAAGCAAGATTGTCACTGCATTATTATCGTTTGCTGACAGCTGTAACAGAAATAAAAAGTACGTATACATTTTTCCATTCGAAAATATCACGTGATAATCATTGTGTCAGCCCCTSTTCCATGCCACAAGAAATTTGGCGCCTTGATAACTTCGACTGGAGACTAAACGAACGTCAAGTGAAAACCATGCATAGTTGTTTCTGCCTATTAGTCAATGGTATCTAGCAAGCCGATTGGATCATAGAACTTATTACATGCTCAGATTGATTGTATGTTGTCGCCAAGGGATCAGAGGGGATCTATTACTTTCATCATACAATAAGAGCAATGGCACTCCACAAGATATCAGTCTAATCAAAGTTTCCGATTCGACTTTCACAATGCATGCCGTAAATCTGATATAACGATTTATAAAACTTATTAATAATGCATAAGCTATTGCTCCAATAAGGGGTCACCATTGAGACAACCCAACACTAGCAAAGGTCTCAGTTTTAGTGTCGCATCATAGACCTTCACTAGGTTTTGAAGCAATCAAAGACGGATAACAGAACTCGCTTATGCAACAGATGGCTTGCTTTCCACGTGGGATGGATAATTATTCAAAATGTTCTGTGTTGCAGTAAATTGCGCATGCTTAATAGGGACTAAACTCAGCAGTTACCTTATTTGTCATTTTTCGTCATTTATTTCACTGTTCACTGTAATTCATGTTAATTTGTGTTTGAGTTTTATAAGTCGTTTACAACATTCGCGTCCGTGTTGTATGGGAATTACAATTGTAATTCCCATACAACACGGCCGTTCATGTTGTAAACTATACTTACAACATCGCGGACACAAATGTTTCAAATAGTCCTTTATTATGCCGCGAATCTGATCGAAATTGTCAGCAGGGTCGGTTTGTCTCGTTTCCAGGTTTCATAACGGCTGCAAGAGGAGACTAGGTTTGTCTATGAAAMAAGTGTCTCGATCTTCCATGTGGAATAGAGCATTTGGCTGGATTACGATTTCTGTTCCCACCCTGTAATCTCCCTAAAAAACACTCTAATATATTTTTTCTCATTTCTTTCATAGCAAAGACTCTCTCCTTGAAACCGCAAGRTGGGGAAGGTATGGCCAAATTATAAGAGTGTATCGCGGAAGGAACATTGTGAATTGAACTCTATGTAAAAGCACTATTTTTTGTGTTTGGTCACTGATTGCTTTAACTGTGATTTCCTTGAATATGTTAGTGTTTGACTGGAGTTTACGTTATTAARTAACAAATTAGATTTAATGTTGGTGGAATATTTTTCGAATAATCATCCGGCATAAATGCCTAGTATCGTTTACCTAGTATCTTACTTTGGTTTCTTATTGTAGTGGGGTCGAGGGATGTCTAACTGCTGCGGTGGTAGTTTCGCCAATCATTCGAGAAAAGCTAGCATRAGCTCTAATCCAGACATACACGTCTGTCGATGTTGTCGAAGGGCTGGATGTCGATAAAGAAGAGTTTGATAAATTTACCTCAAGGTAATGGACTTCTTCTAAAAAATATTGMTTCACACACAAATCAACCTTGAGACCGGTAAATACTGCGATTCGATCTATTTTCATGACTACAATCATTGCCAAAATTCTAGGACCATCCAAGTGAATTTCCTTATTTTAAGCATTAACAGCAGACAATTTCATCTCCATAGCCACTTAAAGTGTAAGTTGTCATTGAGCATATTGCACAACCATCCAAAACAAGACCTATAACATTGATGAAAGGGGGCTATTGGGAGAATTGTCAAAAAGATGCTAGCAGAAAAATGTTAGGCTGGAGACAAATAATTCTGTGGTCTAAGGTATTTTTGGCAACGGTTGTAGCAAGCGGTGGTGGAGAACCCATCAGGACGTTTATCTTTATCTATTCTTAAATAATCCGTTTGCTTTGTTTATTGTCAGTGATAAATCTTTACAACGCATTCTTGGTTGTCTTCTAATTATCTAGCGATGTCAGCTTTTAGCCTATCACATTTCGTGTTCAACATGAAAATCCCTGGACTAGATACATAATTAACTGGTAGAAAAATAGAGTAAACTAGAGTAAACTAGGAAGACAGCCTTTACCTTACGTTGTGATACTGTGCGATTTTCAGATCAGAAGTGATAAAGCTTCTTCAATTTTTGTGGAAGTATCCAGAAAGTAGAGCTGTGCTGAAGAAAAAATGCGAAAACAGCGAAGTAGATGTAAGAACATTCATAYTTCATGTGAAATCCAATCCACCCTCCCTGYAACCGCCCCTGAATTTTMTCGTGTGATAAAATCTTTTAATTACAGGGATTTCTAAGTTCAGTTCTCGACAGTTTACTTTACTTGTTGAATGATGGTTTGTCGCGTTTGGCRAACGTCAGCAAATTGCAAAAGTCCATCGAAGATGGTAAGTCGGTCATAAAACTACTGCAGTCATATCTGAAACTGGCCGGGTACGAGAAATACAAACGACGATAAGCACGGTCATGGTTCTTACCGTCGGTTCCGATCATTTACTCACACAAGATGTACTTGGCTTTATTTCTTTATTGATATTATTGGGTGAATTAATTTCATCTTGATTTCATTTGGTCTTGACGCACAAAATCAGTTTGTATTGTCTGTATGAACTAGTTTCGTTTTATTGAAAACCTCCTCAGTTACAAGACTTGTCTAACGAGTGTTATTCAAAAACTCAATATATTAAAGTATTATTGGATGGTTATAAGATTAAACTTGCTTGGTAATATGTATAA